ATTTGTTCAATTAACTCAAAATTTGGCAATTGAATTGTATGAAAGATAAAAATCCCCAAAATGTGGCGATTGGGTCGTGTGGAAGATAAAAATCAACTTACTTTAATTCTTGTATTGGCCGTAAATCATTGTTTTGCTTCTTTAATTGTGTAGCTAAAAACTTTTCAAATGCCTTGACCAATGCTGCATTATATGATGGACAATCGGTGGACAGTCTTGCTGGACATTCTTTTCATCTGCTGAAGTTTCTGCTTGACAAAGGTTTCTCAGCGCTGCAGTTCTCTTTACTGAAGTACTTGATGAAATTTAAAAATATAATTTTCAAATTTCCTAAAATTTTAGATAAAATTTAAAAACAAAAAATTAAAAATCGAAAAAAAATCTTAAAGGTTTTAAATAAAACTGAAAAAATTAAGAAAAAAGAAAATTAATATTCGATTTTTTATCAAAATCCCCTCTCCTCTCCTCCCCTTAAGCCTTGACAAATATGCATCGAGAGTCTTGTCCTACCACTGTGCTCCAGTAATAGATGTCCTATAAAAAATATATATATATATTTTTTTTTTGCCATTTTCAGCAACATACGCGGAACAAGCATATGAGCGTAGTATGCAGGGCGGAAATCCATCATTGCTCTATCAGAATTGCCCAGGAATGGTCCCAGCAACAGCTCATCGCGTACCAGTGAATCCCCTGCTGAATCATTCGGCCCCGTTGCCAGCAGGTGGTGGTGGTGGTGCGGGACATCCATCGAATACATCCCCCTTCAATGGATATCATCCAGGCCAGCAGCAACAACACCAATATCCTCATATGTATGGCCCGAATACCCCCTTTAACGGTATGACCCCTCATCCAGGAACGGCAGCAGCAGCACCGGTGACACCGCAATATCCTCCAGCACATCATCAACAGACCCCAATGTCCACGCCTGCACCACAGATTTCTTCATATCCGAGTATGGAGATTAACACCCATATACAGTCACAGGTAGGCTAGCTTCATATCTGAATATGGTAAATTGGAAGTCAATCAGTCAAGGATTAT